CCATCAGCTTCAGCAGCACCCCCTCGGCATGCTTCGAGGAGACGTCCCCTCCGGCCTCTTCTTCATCCTCGGACCCCCCCATCATCACTGAATCTTCAATCACTGGTCTCTCTTCGCCCGGGGGGAGGGAATTCTTACGTCCGGCTGCAAAGGGGGAAGACCGTACACCGCCGGGTCAAATTGCTCTAGGGGGGTGTCGAAGTGCCTGGCGAGCCTCCGGTAAATCAGATGTTGGGTGAAGAATTCGCCTCCTTGATAAAAGGAATCGCTCTTGTCGGCTAGACACATCTTCTCGATGCCTTCGACCCAAGCATCAACGCTTCTCTCCACCACCGAGGAAACCCAGTCTTTCCTCCCCTCAGCGGTCCATCCCTCGGCGACGAAGTTCTCGACTGCAGACTTCTCGGCAGCAGCCACCGCTTCGGCCTTGGCCCTCTCTGCCTCCTCGGCAGCTTTCTTCGCGGCCTCGGCAGCAACCCTCTCAGCTTCAGCCTTGGCCCCCTCCACTGCAGATTTCAGTCTCTGCTCAGCGCCCTCGGAAGCCTGCCGGAGGGCCTCCTCAAGCCTGCACATCTCCCTAAGGGCGTCATCCTTGTCGCGGACGAGCTTCTTCAGGGACTCCTCCTGCTGGGCCTTCTGGAGGCGCCACTCCTCAAGCCTCTGGGCCTGTTCCCCGAGGGCTATGCAAGCCTGTCAACAACAAACAAGCAAGTTAGGTTATCATTCAAAATGTGCTAAGTGGGTGCGAAGGAGCCAAAGGAAAATAGTTACAGTCAGAGAGGACCGGAGGATCTTGTTCTCGAGGGCGGCGGCGTCATAAGTACCGAGGGCCGCCCTATCCAGCTCCGAATTCATGCCAAGAAGGAATGCCTTCGGCTCAACAGTGCCGTGCATCACGACAGTCCCCTTGACGAGGGAGGGCTGTAAGGTCTCCCGAGGGACATCCCCCGAAGGGAGGCCGGAGGGGGCCGTCGACATAGTCGCTGCTGGAGGCTAGGAAGAGGATTTCTCCTCGATAATCACCAAGGGGGCATCCCCTTCCTTCTTCTGCTTCTTAGACGGAGGGCTCACCCCCTTTATGGTCTTCTTCTTCATGGCCACATCGACCTGAGAACCCCCTGCCACATCAGCGGTGGCGATAGCTGCAGAAGGCTCCGCCACGTTCTTCAGGAAAAAAGGCATCAATAGGTTGTTGGCCCGAAGGATCTTTTTTCTTGGCCTGGGCCTTCCCCTTCTTCTTCTTCAAAGCGAAGAGGGCGTTTGGGTCCATGCTAGTACCTGCGAAGTAACGAGAACGGGTTAGGCCGAAGGATAAAAGGCATGAACAAATATCGAAGTACAAAAAATTCCCAAGTACAAAATGCAAGAGCCCCCAGGAACTACCTCCTGTGCTCTCGAAGGCTCGATATAGTATGGGGTACTTCTCATCCATTTCCCCCAGGAGCCGGTAACGCCGGAAGCCAAGAAGATACAAATCCTCATTGAGGGTAGACTCCTTCACTGACACGTGCTTATCACGCCCCTCCAGAATGAAAGAGATCTTCCTTTTGTCTTTCTCGAGGGCACCGCTCCCTACCTTCAGGTGTCGCCTGAAACGATCCTGCAGCTCCCTAGGAAAGGGATTGTTTGCCATTCTGATATAGCAAAAACGGTCCCTCCAGCCCTTATGCGACGAGGGCACATCGTCGAAGAGTCTCCACTGGGCAATCTGCTGGAGGTTAGCGTAGCCCTCGGAATTAGCATGACCGCCCCGGCATAGGTTGAAGCTTTGGAAGAAAAGGTCTAAGCTGGGAGTAATGTCCTGAGACCGGCAGAGTTGGAGGAACCCGGCGATGTAAGAATGGCTGTTCGGGGTCAACTAACAGGGGGCTAATCCTACGTACCGAAGGTACTCAAGGAGGAATGGGTGCCACGGGAACCGAAGTCCCATTGACACCGACAGGATGTGAACCGCGAAGCACCCCTCGGGAGCTTGGGAGAGTAGATCATCGAGGCCTGGTTCTACCACCTTCACTGAAGGCCCCGCGTGCAGCTGCGTCACGTAGCATTCAGCCCGGTCAGCCCTCGACCTTATCGTCAGGGCAGCCGTGTTCAACCACGAGTACCCCTCTGGTATCCCCACTGGCTTCCCAAGATCTGCAGCACTACCTTTCTTCTTGGGGGGGCAGCCTTCTTGCTCTTCTTCGCTGGGGCCACCCTGAGAGGCTCCGGGTTGAGTGGCCGGGAGCTACTAGCCTCACCAGCATTTCGAGGGGGTGGGAAGGCAACAGTGACCTTCATCCTCTCTTTTTCCTCCTCCTCCTCGGCAGTTTGCACAGCGAGGGTAAGCTCTTCATCTTCGATCACTTGCTCAAACTCCTCGGCTTCGGCCTCGGTCGTGAACTTCGGTGGCAATCTTCAAATCATCTCCAGCCGAGGCTGATCGCTCAAAGACTCCATGTCGGATATGCTTTCTGTCTCAGCCGAGGGCTCCCTCGAGATGTTCTGAGAGTCACTTTGCGATGACATTTCGGGAAACTAAGGGCGGAAAGATTGAAGTAGAAGGGGATTCCTAAAGCCACCTACAGAGTTCTAACGCCTAATCTAAGGCCGGAATAGCAAAATATGCTAAAAACTCAAGAACAGGAGGAGAGCTGGCCTTGGAGGTTTGGTTTTGATCGAACTAACGCTTTCTCTCTCTAAGAAATTTTTTCCAGAGCTTCGCTACAATGAAATCGCACAAGGCAATTCAGGTCAGGCAAGGGGTATTTATAGGCTCCCCAAATTCGGGCTTGGGCCGAGAATCGGGCCCCCGATCACCGAAGTCATCATTACACGCCACCGCCTCCGCCAACCGGTGACACCCGCCCGCAGTCACCCAACGAGTACACGCCACGTGGACATCACCTCCAACGGCTATATCCCAACGGTCATATTCCAACTGTCACGGCTCTCTTTCACAGACTAAGTTCCCTCATTTGGCACCCCTCAGACAACGCCATTCATGCCTTCGGGTGTTCTCCTCCAGACTCCTGCACCAAAAGGAGCCCCCGGCTCAACAACGGGAGAACCCCACAGGACCCATCAGCCCTCAGTATGTTGAGAACCAGGCCCCCCCCGGGGTCACACCTTACAACCCCTCATCTGTGATTAGCTTCCGGCTAAAATACCAGGGAACCCCTCGACACACAGGGACAATCACCGGCATTCATCAATAGAGATCACGCCCTTAGCCTCATTGGCTGGGGGACTACCCTCGGCAGTCCCCGAGATGCTCACCCATGCTTATCAACTACGGGCGCCTTCGGAGGAGTGCTCTCGGCGACAACATTGCTCTTCATCTCAAACCAGGGGCTCACCTTTTTGATTCATCATTGGGGGAAGTCGGTGCACTCTTTTCCCCTCATTAGGATTTTTTACCAAAGGGTTTTTCCTAATGGGGTTTTTAACGAGGCATCCCCCCAAAATGAAACGAAAAGCACGAGCCTTCGGCTCCATGATGAAAACAGGCACCACTCTACTCCTCTTCACCACATTACACGTGCCTCAAGGAGTGGGGGACTGAAGAACCCCTTCGGGAAATTCACAAAAATACAAAATTTTCCTTCGGCCCCAAAATGTGGGGGACAGAGGGACTGCCCTCGGCAAACACGCAGGCGCAAAACTCCTCACCACTTTTACAAACTACAGCAAGGCAGCATCAGAGGACAAACACAATTACTCCTTTTCCCTCAAGTACCTTTCGGAAAAAGGAGTGAGGGACTCCTGATGGAGTATATGGCCCTGGAACCCCCCAGCCCACATACTTCCACTATTACATTCAGGCCCAACAGGCCTAAAACGGGCCAAGCCCCGCATAGTGAAGCCCTAGGCAGCCCACGAGGCATGAGGGGGTGCCTTCGGCCCCATGGCCGAAGGCCACCAGTGACAGAATAGGGCTCAAAAACATCGCAGGAAAACAAGGCTTAAAAACCAAGCCTCCGGCAATTGGAGCCCTCGGCAATATGAGGCCCCCGGTACGCAGAGCCTTCGGACTGTCATCTACAGCCGAAGGCATCCTCCTCGACAGGATCTCCCATCCACATGCGCTGGATCACCGTACCAAGTACAAACGTCGCATCCAACCACCGCATTTAATGCGGCCACATGCGAATGCCAATGCCACCCCAGTTGAGGTGACCCCTCGACCACCAGATTGTTGACACGTGTCCCTATCTAGCATTTAATGCTGCTATAAATAACACCCCTTTCCCCATTTGTAAACCACGCTCAATACAATTCGAATACACATTTGAACTCTTTATCTCTCTTACTTGTTTGCTCTGACTTCTCTTTAAGTTACTCCCTGCAGTAACCCCTCGGATAAGCTACCCCCGGGTACACTATCCATCAAACCTCATTTACTTTCCTTTAATCTAAACCCATTTAATTCTACACCTACTCCATTAATTACGCGAATTAATGTAGGATGCCAACTGTAAGCGGGTTAAATGTAGGTTAACTAATGTTTCATAATACCCAAACATAGGGTGATACATACACTTATACCTTTCCCCCCAAGTCTTGAAATACATATTACTCCCTCTGTTTTTTAAACAAGTTCCCACTTTCCTTTTTGGGTAGTTCCCAAATTAAGTTCCTCTTTCCTTATTTGGCAAATTAACTACATCAAAACAGTGCCAAACAGTGTCCAAACAGTGTCAAACAGTGTCCAAACAGTGCCCCAACAGTGTTAAAACAGTAAAGTTTACCCTCAGTAATTTTTTTCCCTTAAAAACTGTGAAAAGCAATGGGTAACTTGTTTTAGAAACGGAGGGAGTAGTATATATACACTTTTAAAATACTCAATCCGTAGGTCATTGTTTACTTTGGGAAAATATTAGAGTAGTCAATGACTTTGACTTATCAAACCCAAACTCACTCAAATGCTCATGAATTAATATTGCATAGGTAAATTAACCTATGGAATAGGGGTATTATTAACCTTAATTTGACTTTTAGTCCAGGGGCATGAGTCTATGTTGGGTGAACCGTTAATTAATTAGCTTTTGTGCTCTACTATATGTATCTATTACATGCATAATCCAGTACATACTTCCTTCAAACGGAATGGCAAAGATTCCAATTCTTCCCATTTTTACCAACTCCCTTCCCTTCTTCTTCGTCTTCTTCCTGTTCACTTTTCCGGCTACCGGGGAAGAACAAATCTTCGGAAAGCCGGTGGACCGGAAAACTCTCGGATTCAAGAAGGAAAAGGCAAGTCATCTCCACTTCTTTTGGCATGACATTCTCAGCGGGCCCAAGCCAACCTCGATCAGAGTCATCCAGCCGGCGAATATCTCGTCGGCGAATTTCAGGTTCGGCATGACAAACATCATCGACAACCCGCTGACTATCGGGCCGGAGCTGAAATCCAAGTGCGTTGGAAGAGCGCAGGGGATTTATGCTTCGGCGTGCCAGGAGGAGCTTGGGTTCTTGATGGTGATGAACCTGGCTTTCATTGAGGGCAAGTACAACGGCAGCACCCTCACTGTGCTTGGCCGGAACCCGGCGTTAGAGAATGTCCGGGAGATGTCCATCGTCGGCGGCAGTGGGCTTTTCCGGTTCGCTCGCGGCTACGTTCTGGCGAGGACTCAGATGCTTAATTTGAAGACCGGCGATGCCACCGTCGAATATGATGCTTATGTCTTGCACTATTAGTGCATCGTCTCCTTTCTCCATTACTAAATTATTATTACGGAATAATTTTGTCAACTTTTTTTCTATTGTATCAAACCGCTTTCTTATTAGAGTTAAGGAATAATTAATTTCTCTCAGTTTTTTGCAATTCTGAGTGACACAATTTTAATTTTCTTGTTTCCTTTTTTGTGATCATAAAAGAGCGGCTGTTATATTAAAATCGAGAGCACATAGAAGACAATCTTCAGACAAAATTTACAGATCCTATCGTAAACCCTAGGAGTGACTTGGAGTCAGCAACCTCATACAAAGCAACATGACTCGCTAAATCTGAAACGGGCAAATTTGAGCCTAAAACGACTGGAACCGAAACTTTGCCTATTAAAAGAACCCCAAAAATCCAAACACTCAAATCAAATTTACTCGGACTAAAACAGAAACAATTGCTACTAAAGAGAAAATAATATTGAAATAAAATCTTTCCACAAAGCTCTTCCTGGTATGGAGGTGGTTCCGGAGGAGGACGAGTTCTAGCAATATGGGTGAATATCAACCTCAATACAACCTCTCAGCCGCACCTCGTTCATCCGTCAACGCTATCTCCGACGTAGTTGCAATCCCAAACGTTAGAACACTTATTAAAATTATTATAAGCTGCCGCTCCAACCCCATATTTATTGGGGCGCCGGAAAATCTGAACCTCTACCCAAGACGGGAGACAACCGATAGGATTCCTCGCTCTATGATTTTTTCCCTTGTTTCTTATTTAATCCAAAATTGAGAATGTAGAAGGCAGACGATATTAATTACGAACTAACAAAATATATAAGTGGGTCAGTATAAATTAGTATTTGGTAATTATCATAGACTAAGAACGTTATGGTATGAGTGGAGTGGTTTAATCATGATGCACGGAATTTCTACCAATAAAGCAATATTGTGGACCATTTGGCTATTAGGTAACCATGAATTTTGACCTTTTGTTCTGGTCGAGTGTTTGCCCTCTTTATTTGACTATTTTAGCTTTTGTTTACACCTAATCTTCCAAGATTGTATTCACCTGTTTTTTAAAGATGTACTATTTGATCATTAGGATAGTTATTACTACCTCCTAAGAAAGTAGAATAAAGTAGAAATGTGTAGTTGTGATTGTATAAGAAAAAGGTGAAATGAATGTGAACCACACAAATTGTCCAAAAATAGTAAGTGGGAAGACTTTTTTGGAACGGCCAAAAAAGAAAAAGTGAAAAGAATTTTATAGAACAGAGGGAATATATGTCATGTCATTATGTGAAGTGTTGCAACAAAAATTACACGAGATTTACCTAATTTGGACTAAAACATACTCCATATTCCGTATGAAAAGTCACTTTTTGGTGCAATAGGGAAAAACTAAAATATAGATCCAAATGCCAATTTGTCATCCACCTCCTCGGCTCCTCCTCCTCCCCTTCTTTGTTTTCTTTCTACGATTCATATGATTTCTTCTCTTTTCAATTTCCACTTTTACTAATTCTATTTATTTCATTTTAAAATATTCATATTATTTTCCTCACCAATTGAACCTGAAAATGTCATTATTGTTATGTTATTGAATATTGATTTCTAAAAATTGTCACTTTTATAAAAATATATTTACCAAAATGACAATTTTATTTTACATCTTCATACATTTTCGAAGCATGACATTTTTATAGAGGAAAAATGACACATGTTTGACATTCTCAGAACAAACATGACATTTTTGTAGCTAACCCTCAACTATTGATGGACTCGGACTGGGTCGGGCCCGGGCCGGGCCTAGGCCCGGTCGGGCCGCCGGGTAGTATGACATGGGCCCGGGATCGGCCCGAGGGTTGGACGGGTCCGGTTCGGGCCGGGCCACCCGCCCGGGTCGGGTCCGGTTCGGGCCGGTTAATTTTTTTTTATAATTTATATTTTATAGTTTATAGTTTTATACGAGTATTAAAAACAAACTTCAATTGCATTTATTTGAAATGAAATAGGAACTACATTTGAAAATTAAAACAAACATAAGAGATAAAACATTTTGAAAATTGTAATCAATCGAAACTTCCCGCACCTCCCGATCCTTTGGCTTTGTCACATGACTTCATATGTTTGATTGCCATCCCGAATCCGCCTGAAACCCCCATGCTACATTTTTTCTCGCACCATTTGCAAATTGCGTACCACATCCCGGTTTTCGGGTCCTTCTGCTTATCAAAATTATACCGTATAATGGCATCTTGATTTTCCATCTTAATTTCTTAAGTATAAACTATAAAGTAGATATATAAATAATAAATACGATAGTATAATATATTGGAGAATAAGAGAATTAGAGAGTAGAGAGTTAAGAATAGGATTTAGGAAGAATTGGAGATGAGATGAAAAAATGTTTAATATTAGGAGTATTTATAGGTTTTTTTACCCCTCACCCCCCCACCACCACCCCCCCCCCACCAGCCAACCCCCCCGGACCCCCCCTTTACCCCACCCAACGGCTATATAGCCGTTTGGGTTGTCCCCAGCCCCACCCCCAACGGCTAGTAGCCAAAACCAATTTTTTTTTTTTTAAATTAGACCCGGACCCGGGCCCGACCCGGCCGGGCCGGGTCACAATAATCCAGCACCGAGCCCGCCCCGCCCCTTCCCACCGGTTCGGGTCCATACCCGGTCCTGGACCGCCCGACCGGGCCGGTCCCGGGCCCGCACAGTACCGGGCCGGGCCGGGCCGGGTGGCCCGAACCTAATCCATCCCTACCCTCAACCATAAAATCCCTAATATTTAGTATATTAATTGCGCTTCTTGCCAATTTTTTGTTTCCCGCAAATCCTCCGATGGAGGAGCAAGTTGAGAGGTGCTTTAAACTGCTTCTGACTTTTTCTATTATACAAAAAATACTTATTTTTCTATTACCCACTTTTACTTTATCATAATCATTACTTATTTTTTTTTTCTCAAACACTATCAACTTTTACTCCCAACTTTTACTCCGTATTAAACATTTTTCCCAAAATCACTTTAAAACCCCACTTTTTTAAGGTAGAAGCAATAGCAAATATCTACAAGCAAAACGCTTGAGGCACACACTGAGATGTTTGCGATATTAGGGTTCACTGTTGGGCAGCCGGCTGAGTACAGAATGCTCAGGTTTGTGGTCACACTCATAATCAAGATGAACAAATGCTCGTTCTACTTCAGGAAGTTTCTCAATCTTTATTTGAAGATTCTCTCCTATGGTGTGAGCTTCTTTCAAGGGCAAATCTTCTGGTAGTTCAATATCAACCTATCAACAAGGAAAGGAAGTTTTTTTAGTGCACCAAGAATTGAATGGGGATAGATACTATCACTAAAACATTACTAATTCAGACTATCTCAAACAAAGAAATAAAAGAATGATTTAGGGGAGAAGAGGAGACACCTCAACAAAGTACAAGACACCAAAAGTATATGCTCGGACAGTGTCAACGCGTTGCACTTGAGGGTGCCCGACTACTAGATAAGTTAACTTCTGCAATACTTCAGGAGGGGCTGATCGTCCTATCAGTGATGCTGCCATCAACACCAGATTTAGGTTAGTACAGCAAATAAAGATGCATGAGGGTAGAAAAGATGAATGATTTTTTCGGGGTATAACGGGTTAACGGAAGGCTAAATGTTGGGAGAGATCATAGTAAAATACTACTAGAGAAAATGAGGTCAATGTTAATATAGCTTATACTGACATCAAAGGGAGTATGTGACTAACTTTCTTTGTTTTGTGGTGATGTGACTAACTTTCTATTAGACTTGACTTGACTTGACTCAACTAGAACCTAAGCCCCATCTAATTGGGGAAAAGTATAACAAAGCCAAACCAAACCAGAGAAACCCAATATATACCAATCAGAAGTAGGATCTCGGGAGAGAGATTTACTCCACCTCTACCCAAATGGGGTAGAGATGCTGCTATAGATGAAAACGAATTCCATTACAAACAGCATAATGGAACAGAAGTTGCAACTAGTTGGAACTATTTCCCATCCGACCTTTCTGAGAGAAACTCATATGTTTAAATATTTACGCTTGTACTACCTATGTCCCATTTAATGTGTACTATGTCGGTTTGTCACAATTATTAATAAAGTGGTTGAAAAAGTAAAAATTGTAGTTGGGATTTGAGTATAATAAAGTGAAATGCTATAGACCACATATTTTTTTCCAAGATAAGGACATGTAAAATGGGACGGAGGGAGTATTACAAAGGCTGCAATTGACACATTTATTCTGCTGCAATGAAGAAATAAATAAAGGAATCATCAAATCATAGTATCTCCAGCATATGTTGGGTAGTTAGGCTGTGTTTATTTTTCTTTATGCTACATTTGCTCTTTTCTTCTCTGCATACTTCACAAATAATATTATCAGAATGACATGTTCTCCATGCAATTGTGAAAGAATGTATGAAGTATAATGCAATCTCTTGTATACTTTAATGTCATTTTTCTACAGAAATAAGGTTGAAGCAGGAATGGCATCCCATGTAAGCCACTATGCTTTTTTTGCATGACTCTATATGGTTAACAATTTCTACATATTCAATTTAATTGACACTATAAATTTCATTTCACCAACTCCGACATTAATTAGAATTAAGGTCATGGTATAAATGTGTGATTACAGAACAAAAAAGCGAACAATAAATGATAGGGATACTTTATCCTTGTTAAATAAATACTCCATATGCAATGCTACATAGTATTTAGAGGTTTCAGTTTCATAAATCTGCTGCCTACAGATACCTGCATTCTCTAGGACGGTTGCTGACCAATTTACAATCGTGTAAATTGCAAGGACAATGGCCCCGGTAGGATCAATCCACCAGTAAAATTTATCTCCAAGTACAGCCGCTATCAATCCAACTACATTTGTAACAACGTCAAAATAGTGATCCTGAAATATACAAATCCAAGCCTTAACCCCAAAAGATAATAACAAAAAATTAGGCACTGGCACTATTCAAAGAAGGAATGTGGTGGGTTAAGGTAGTAGTTCTACCTTTGCATAAGCTCGAACAATCTCATTTCCTGAATTCTTACAGTAGATCCAAAGACCAAGTTTTACAACGGTGGAAGTTATCATGATGCTATACAGCCATGTTAGCTGATCTGAGGTCAAACTTTCAGATGCTTTATTTTCAAGAAGTTGTTCGACGGCTTGAACCAATACCTGAAAGCCTAAGCAAGTGATGCACAAAAGTTATCTAGGAGGGAGATTTATTTCAGAAAAGATCACTTTGATCCTGTACATGCCAAATTTAGAAAATTGGAATTACCATTGCAGAAAATCTTTAAGAAGATAATTGTGAATTAATATAATTATATTTTCATATTCATGAGTCGTGAGATAATACTATAACAGGAAGCAACCTTTTGTAAAAAACCCTAATTTCCCAATGAAATTGCAACATCAAAAAGAGGGAATTACTATATATTCAGAGAAAGAATAACAAGGAATATCAACACAAAGATATGCGAAATTGCAACCATTTAAACCAAATAGCATGCTGATCCTGAGGCGAAATTTGAATTTCAGAAGTGCCATAAACTTACAAGCAAGGGCTAGAAATCTAGAACTTGGAAAAACTATAGACTTGTTATTCCTTCTTTATGTTTTGAGAAACAGAGAATAATGGACAGGCGAATAGATGTAACAGACAAAACGACCTACTCTCTGACAGAATGGAAAATGAAAGTTATGCATCTCATGGGTAAACATACACGACAAAGCTCAAAGAGGAAAAGTAAATACTCATTTAAGAATGAGAATGAAAAATAATGGAAAAAAGGAACATTAAGTGTTTCATAAACAGCTATTGTATTGTATTCCTTTAAATCGTTTTTCATTCATTCACACTTTATTGCAAAAATCAATTTATATCCACTTATGCACCCAAGTATCCAGGTTGGAAACAAACAGTAGATGATAATTTCTACTTTCCTTGCTGTCAGAAAACTATCTCCAGCACTAACCAACACAATGTAACAAGCTTTGGGCAGAAAAGCCCCTTTGCAGATCCATTATGTTGTAACGGTTTAATGCCACATTCTCTTTCAAAGACAAAGCCCGAGAGTTAATGAGTAGCTATTAACATACTCCTTATATTGCATTATTGCTCTTTGTATCCTGTAACCAAAGACTCATTATTTTTTGGCTTGGGAATATGATGGAATAAAGCAAAATGGCTTACTAAACTGTCTGCGCTTCTTTGTTATGATTTCCAATGTTCTGGAAACAGTCTCTTTGTGCTTTAGTACAGGGGTAAGACTGCGTACATGAGGTACATCCGACCCCCCTTATCCCACCGAAGGTGTGGGAGCCTTTGCGGCACTAGGGTAATGATAATGATGATGATGATGATGAGATGAATCAATTTAATGGATCATTATGAACCTTAACCTCATTTAAAGAAGGGTATTTCTACCAAAGTGACTTCTGGAAAATCCATTTCATGAAGTCAAATACTTCTTCAAAAGCATACTCAATACTCATGCATAAAGCACAATGTTCTACGTACCACATGTCCATATGGTCAGATACTTTATACATGTTTCAGCAAAAAAATATGCATTTTGTTTCAAGGTCGAGCGAGTGGTGTACACGTTAAATGTTAAAACATTGAATCTTCGTGGCTTCTTGGTGCATGCCCAATGGTTTTACATGCTGTCATTTTGCTACCCGCTTCTCAGTATTTTTATTTCCTTTATAAAGCTCTAGTTTCTAAGAACATGATATATATTGAGGGAATGAATGATCATATAACCACTTCTGCAAAGCATGACAGGATTGCAATAGGAACCAAATTGCATACTAATCCCCAAATTTTGGGAAGAATATGAAAATGTTAGCAGTCAAGCAGTGACATACCCAATGTAGCCATGACTGCAGCAAATATAATAATGCCAACTGGCTGCATTCTCAGTTTCCCAATGGGATATTGGTAGATATTTATGTTTTTCATTGACAAGTGAGTGAGCCATAATATGCCGCCAGCCATGACATCAAGTAAAGAATCCAATGTTGATGCAGCAATAGCTAAAGACCCACTTTTAACTGTAGCATAACTCTGCAAAAGCATAAAGTACTCTACTCCATCAAATTAGTTTGAAGTTCTCAAAACAAACAATATGTGTGATTATCCTGTCAACCATTTACCAACTTAAGTCACTTAGTCATGTATACTCTAAACACTCTTGAAACGTCGTTTGCTGAAAGACAAATGGATTTCATAGTATTATATTATATTCCACATTTCATATCAACGCAAAAGTTACTCTATGCCATGCATGTTAATAAACTATCTTCTTTTAAAAATAAGGCTCTTGTTCATGATCATGTGGTAAACTTAACTCTTTTTTCATCTCTGGTTTTATATATCAAACTTCAATCATAATACAACTTCAGTTTTTGTAGTTTAATGAAACTTTTATTGTAGTTTTTAAATATGTTACTTTAATTATTGATAATTATTTTGATATTTTCAATTCTCAAGTCAAACATTGTAAAACTAAAACAGGAATTTTAAGTAGGGACGGCACCCAAAGGTAGCATACGAGAATGGCAATCACCTTAAGAGCCAGTAATAATACATTCACGTAATTGGAAATCTTCATTGCTCTCTCATGTTGGGCTGATTCCTCAAGATCTTCATCAGTCGAGTTAGATGCACTCACGATATCAACACTTTCAAATGATTGTAAAGTTGCAAATTGTTTTTCATAATATTCTTTTTCTCCTGCAATCAGGCAATCCTTGAGTCATTAAAAATAACATAAGGCACAAAGCAGTAGCAGCCAATATAAGACATAAATCCCGTAAAATATATGTAACAAAAAATAAGCTCATAAGCTGAAGCTAAGATATCAGTACTCCCTCTATCCCACTATCCGTGTCCCATCCTTCTTTTTACGTCCTACTAAGATTGTCACGTACCATATTTGGTAATAAGTGTGGTTTTAATTACTTCTTATTTTATTTACACTATCAATTCAATACCAACCACATAACTCCATTTTTCTTAATAACCGCATCACTCTCTCATAGTCTCATGTATCCGTCTTAGGGGGGCGGAGGCAGTAATTCATTTCTCCTAACTAAAAACAAGACTAAGTAAAGTTGTGTGTATGTCATCACTTTAAAAGCCCACATGGCCATGCTCCAGGGTCCACATTCAAATAAGTTTCATTCTTGAAAGGTTAAAAGAAAGTAGTAGAAGAATAAAGTGATGAAGTCAGACATTCCAATGCCAAGAACTAGAGAAATACTAAAAGTTTCCAGCTTTTCCTCTTGAGAGACCTTTATCAAGTCATCAACTGCACCTTTAAATATCGAAACATGGTTCTATTAATGGGTATGTATTATTGGGCTACCTATCTTCTTTTTGTGAAGTGGGTATTTAATTTGCAAATTCAGCGCGACATACTCACAAACTTCAGCTCCTTGAAAGTAACTTCCTTTGGTGCAACCTATCAGGTGTTCTTGAAATAAACTTGTTAAAATAACTAGGAAGTATTATAATTCAGTAGTTACAAACGTATGCCTTGATGCGCATACTTTGTTTAATTTGCTGGAAATGTAGCTTGCAACTTGTTGATATTGAAGACCTTGATGGAGTACATATAAACAGTTCTACATCAAAACTATACTTGGTTCGTTCCGCTGATTCTGTTTTGTGCAGATGCTGGGATGGCAATTGGGTTGGTCCGTTGGTAAGCTTTAATTAGTTATGCTTGGAGACGTAACCCAACAGTTATATCCAAAAAGTTCATCTTCCAGGAAGAAACATACATATTTGTTAATTATGCAGAAGCCAAGTGCGCAACAACGTAATAATCACAGCACCCCCGCCCTCAAAAGATAAATGGTGATGAACAAACACAGAATCAACATGAAAATGAGAGGGGTGGGGGAGGGAGAGAAGGACCTTTCGTCAAGGAAGAACATTTGGAGAGGTGAGGCGGAGAAGGAGACTCTGGGTCAACGCAGGAGCGGACGTTATCCGGTAGACGAGCCAGGAAATCGCTGCGGAGCGAGGCAACAGAGTTCCGCCTGGAAAATTGCTGGCTACGCCGCCCGCGTCCACCGAGCTTCCAGCCGTCCAGCAGAGGCAATTTCACGTCCTTCTTAGGTTCACTCCTCTCCATTATCCCTTTCGAGTTTCAACCCAATATTGGGAAAAACCCAATGCCCTTTCGAGCAGATATATGACCCCAGATATTTCAAATGGATAAATCAATTAGATGAATTCATGGTTTATCTTGTTCAAAGTGATTAAATGATAATGTCACTGCAACAAATTTCCGCGGGTAATGTTTCTTAGATTCTACTACAACATCCGAATTTGTTTATCCAGTAGCTTTCAAAGAAATACTAGTACCATACAGGGGTGGTATAGGTGATTCGAATGCAAACGCAAGGACTTCCAATGTTCTCTTATGTTCTCGTATTTATAGCCTTATTTTGTTGTTTATTTTCTGTTACGTGATTCAGTTAGCTCAGTTTCAAAAGGGTGCTTATGTTTTGAAAATGGAAAATTCCAGAAAATTGACATGTTTTTATTTATAGGAGTAGTTATTGTCAAGTTTGAAAAGTATTGTCATGTTTAAAGTCTGGTACTATCAAAACATGACAGTAATCAGTCCTATTTTGGCAATAAAAACACGATAGTCCTATTTTGGAATATACAAACGTTTTAGTCCTATTTAGGGTAATTTCTCTTTGAAAATGTGATTAATAAGGTATAAGTTTCGGAAAATATGATATTTGTCAAGATATGAGGTTCATCCTAATAGGTCATCCTGATGTGAGGAATTGTCCAAAATCTTATATAGTGTTTTATTATTTTATAACTTTCTGTTGTGGGACAAATACTTTAACACGCATCCCAAGCCGAACCGGGCTAGATAATATCGAGCTGTATAAAGGGTCCAAATAGACCCTAAACAAGTTACCATTAATCACGGGTGCTAAACAAGCAGTCAACCCACAACCGGACTTGCTTCTAATATCATGAACTTATATGAAACCAATGAACTGTATAGTATTATTCTGAATAAGAGACCATTTGGTAACACAGTAATCGGCTGAATCGGCTAATTCTACTGAAATTTATGAAGTTCTGGTTGAAGTGGGTGTATTGGCTGATTCTGCTGATTTATGAAAAAAAAAGTATCTAAAATATCTTTTACTACGTATTCTTTATAAAGAAAAAATTATATAAAAATAGCTAAAATGGCCATCTACAGTAACTTCAACCAATATAGCCAGAAAAGTAACTTCATCCTTACTTTTTCTTATTATTACATAATAATTCAACGCGCGAAATCAAAAATTACGTGTTTGGTTAAAAAGTTGGTTGATGAGCCTGATAAGCCGAAAAACATAGTTATCAAACGGGTTCTAATTGTGTGTCTATTACAAGGCTGAAACATAGCTATATAAAGGAATAAAAAAGGGTTACTCGATGCATTAAGAATAGAAGGAAAATAATTGTAATGAATGTGTCCCTTTAATAAATATGCAACCAAGAATATAATATTGTTTTCATAATATGTTGAAGTATTTGTCTCACACCAGAGAGCTATAAAACAATAAAATACGGAGTATTATATAAGACTTTCGACTATTCCTCCTATCAAGTTAGCCATTTAGGATGAAACGTCGGGTCTTTACATGGTATCAGATCCTTCGAGCATTTGACAGGTGATATGAGTTTTCTTGCACTTAAAAATATGTAGTAGAATATGGTGCAAGTATGAGTATCGTCTCCACAGGGATGAAAAAAAGGAATCATGAATTAACTAAATTTAGCGATTAAAAAAATAAAATAAATGCAATTGTGCGAGATTTGGATTTTTGAAAAATTAAAATAATGCGAAAAAGAAACTAATCTAAAAGGCACATTCTATTAATGATGAAAGGGACGGGGATTGATTCTGGGGTAATCAGATTTCAGGGTTGATCAGGCTTAATCACATTAAAATTATTTAATTGAGCAACGCTAGTCAATGATATATTTTTACCGCTCTCGCGGCGTAGAGTACGATAATTTAGGGAGCCATGCAGATCTCTCATGCAAAAAGTTTCTAAATTATTGCACAAGCGAGCGTACGACTCCCTAATCATTACTAATCTCTTAGTGAACGATTATGTGTGTGTGAAAGTGTCCTAAAATAAATTAGATCTCTCTTAATTTATTCTATGTGCAATTATAATCCTAGTAGCCTTCCCGGTTACAAAAGATATCAATTAAATTATTCAAACACAAATTAAATAAAGATCATGCAATTAAACCATCAAGAAATTAACCCTAGATCATGATTAAGCTCTTCATGAATCCCAAATCCCTAATTAAAACTACTCACAATTCATAATTAAATTAACAATAGAATTGAGAAGGAAAGAATTAATTGTCATTAATTAAAAAGATTGAACTTACAAAGAATCCCAAAATCTTGCCTCCCAAGAATCATTATTTTTAACGTCGTGTGCCCGATGATACCTCATATGCTCTCAAATATCAAAGACTGTGATGGTGCACTAATTTTCAAAGATTCTAACTTTCGCTCCACAAATGCCTTTAAGTGGCGCAGACCTTTAAATTCTCGAGTACACGTAGGCAGCACATGGTCTTCATAACCTTCATCAGCACAGAAGTGAAGGATGAAACTCACATCCTCTTTGGGTGGACATAGAACATGAGTCAAAACTTTGATTACTCTAGGCATCACTGGAAGCTCAAATCATGTCTCTAACCAAAGATCTGGAGCAAGACAATACTCAAATTCCACTGTAGAAAAATCTTTTACTTCCTCACAAATATCATGAAAATTCACAACATCTCCTCTGGACTCTGTATCACTCCCCAAGTGAGCATCTCAACTCTCGTTAACACCGTTCTTATCAATGTCTTCTCGGATGATGTTGTCACTCTCCACACAAAAAGGAATAGCACCATCAAGGAGTGAATCAAAGAAATACAAATCTGAAACCACGTAAGATTGAATCGGTGCTTGTGTACAAGAGGGGTAATCTTGCTTGTGGAGCAAGACTTTTTCATTATGGACATCATCTATCGCTCCCCACTCTCTTGGAGCTCGTGATCATCTTCTCCCAACTCATCTTCAATACTCAAACCTCTTCCAATGTCTTCATCAATGTCATGACTGATATGCTCCTTGCTCTCCTCGTCAGGGGTTGAGACTAATGGTATATCAAACAGTTGGGGAGTTTTTTTATGAAAATCATTGTGATCTGTGACTTCATCAGTTACAGCTTGTACCGTATGAAACTTTTGCATGTATTCTTTGAAAAACAACTCGAGACTACTATCTTTTTGTTCAATTTCAAACAGAGGTGGGTCATCAAAAGTGTCTGGAAGTGTTATCATCCATCATACTCCCACCATCGCAGTCTGATTCACTCCCATGATCATCCCTATTCGTCTCCTCAGATAAGGCTTCTGTCGCCTGACTCATCATGTTACTTAGATCCTGTATTCTGGTTGAAGTGGTCTGCATGAACTGAATGAGCGTCTCTTCCAAATCAGAAAGGAGGTAAGGGTCAAATTGGTGCTCGAAATTGCATAAAAAGGGTCAAATAAGTCCTTACTCTCCAACCGTCGCCATTTAGGCAGGTTCCTAGTGGAAATTTTTGATGGATTTTTTTGAGAATCTTATTCATTAAGTCTAGTTTACTCATACCAAATTTCAGCTAAAACTTCAATCAGGAAGGCATTCAAATGAATTCTTGCAGGTAACTGCGCTTTTAAGTGTGCGGTTATCTTCAAGACTTCATTTGAATGACTTCCCGATTGACATTTTAGCTGAAATCTGGTATGAGTAAACTAGACTTAATGAATAAGATGCTCAAATAATTTAATAAAAAAATCCATCGGGAACCGCCCCGAATAGTGATGTCTGGACAGAGTCTCCTATATAAGGACTTATTTGACCCTTTTTATTCAACTTCGAGGACCAATCTGACCCTTACCTCAATCAGAAAGCCTCTTTAAATTTGCCTCCTCTTGTTGATTATGTAACTCATTACTCGACAAGGATGTAGGAATGATTGGAACATTTGTGCTCATATAGTGTGAGGAGGGAAAAGTGGGGTATGTAATTGCCTGGTAAGGATTCATATGGAGGAATGAGGCAAAGACATAAATGGCGACCTCCTCCAGAGAAGGAACAAATGCGATTTTTAGGAAAGTAGTCAGTCAATTCCTCGGGACTTTTAGTTTCAACAAGATATTCAAGCATGGAGCCTGGTTTCGCCCTAGGATATTGTGAATAAGCATAATGATGAGGGGATTGAGATTGAGAATGTTGCGCATTTGGAGGAGGATAAGAATAAGAAGACCAAAAATTTTGTGGTGGGGAAGAGTGATATCGGTGAGGAGTGTAATGAGGGTAATATTGATGAGGAGGGTATGACGTATATGGTGAATATTCTATAGAGGTTTGAGGGAATGATGTTCCTCCAGGAATTGAGCTGAATTGGTTCATCTCATGTCTCTTTGAAAATACCTAAAAGGTTAGCAAAGAAAAATCCTACGAAAAACTAAAAAATACAAACTAAAAAAAAAATCGCTGAAATTAATTAATCCTTAAAACCGACACCATCCCCGGCAACGGCGCCAAAAACTGATGTGAGTTTTCTCGCACTTAAAATAGATTGTAGTAAAGGGTGTAAGTACGAGTATCATCTCCACAGGGACGGTAAAAGGGAATCAGGAATTAATTAAATTCAGCGATTAAAAAGAAATAAAATAAAAAAAAAATTGTGCGAGATTGGAATTTTTGGGAAATTAACTAATGCGAATAAAGAAATTAAACTAATGGGTTCTTTCTAAATAATGATGATAGGGAACAGGGATTGATTCCGGGGTAATTAGGTTCTGGCTGATAATGCTTAATTACATGAAATTAATTTAATTGGGTCTCGCTAATCATTACTAAGTTCTTGCCGCTCTCGCGGCGTAGAGTACAATAATTTAGGGAACCAGACTAATATCTCATGCGATAGGTATCTAAAATTATTGCCAAAAATGAACGAGTGTATGGCCCCTTAATCGTTACCAATCTCTTAGCGAACGATTAAGTGTGTGTGAAGGTGTCCTAGAATAAATTAGATCTCTCTTAATTTATTCTACATGCAATTATAATCTCAGTGGCCATTATAGGTTTCAAGACATATCAATTAAATCATTCAAACACAAATTAAATCAAGATTCATGCAATTAATCCATCATGAGTTTAACCATACATCATGATTCACTCATTCATCAATCTAAAATCCCTAATTAAAACTTACTCACAACTCATAATTATATTGAAGAATCAATAGAATTGGGAAGAATAATTAAAAATTAGAAACTTACAAATAATCGAAGGAAATTGAAGAACAAGATGGAAAAGTAGACGA